TTTTGCAAGAACAATCCAGTTTGCTCCCACTGCTTTCCCTTTTCCAACAACTTCAATAACAATTATTTTCCTTTGTGTACTTCTCATTCCCTCAAGAAATCTTGTCACGTTTGAATTTACTTTCATCACCCTAGCAGCACACAGATCAAAATCGTTTGCTGTATAAAACAAAATCCAATCATCAAACTGTCTCTGGCTCTTTTGACAATCTCTTTACATCGATAGAAAGGTCAAGAATCAGGGGTGCCAATGGGAATAGTTTCTCTGTTCTATCGAAACCTTTCATAATTTTGATTTTACAAAATCTCCTCTTTCTCTGATCTTAGGGAGAAAACCCAACCTATCTATTCTATTCACATAACTAAAGTCCCTCATTTCTGAATCATTTGGATAAATCTCAACTGCACCTTCTTGAACGTCTTCAAATTCTTAAAGTGTACTGCCAGAATCAAAGAAAATTGTAGTCAAATCAGTATTTTATAAAGGTTCATCTTTAGTTCCTTGTTTTTATACTCCATGTCTGTGTTTATTAAGCCCAATATTTTACATGCTTTTTAAATTGCTTTTATAACTTGCTATGCCACCTCAAAGATTTGAGCACAAATACCTCCATATCTGTTCCTGCACCTTCTTTATCACTATCTTTCTCTTTAGATTCCCTTTCTTGGTTTTTCATATCAAAATGCATTAATTCAGGTTTCTCAACATTAAATTTCATCTAGCACTCTCACATCGCATCAGCAGGTTTATGTCCTCTTGCAGTCAATCGCTATTCTCCTTTCATGTAATCTGCAGAGTTTTGAATAATGTCCTAATGTTTCACAAAAACCATGGTCCCCATACCACCCAAGGATAGTCACTGCGTATCTGTTCCATTCTGGAAAAGAGCAGTTCATCATTACTGTTGCTTGTTGGTATCTATTTGAAACTAAAATCTTTGGAATATTTAAAATATTTCCAAGGAGTTTGGATTTTGGCATGGAATGAGTTGTAGAATTTTTCTTCTTGTTTTGTTGGCACAGCCAACATTTTATGCCCGTACCCAATAGCAAAGAAGAATCAAGCCATTGCTCTGAAGCTGGAGTCATACGCAGGTTGTACCAGTAAGGATGGCAGATTTCCTTCCCTAAATGACATTATGACAATTAACAATAGTTTCATGGTTTCGAAGGCTAGCTTTGTTTTTCAGAGTCCGTAATTGAATTTAAGTCCCAGTAGCTACTGTGGTAAGCTCTTGAATCCAAGTCCCCAACTAATGAACCCAGAGCCTGGGATCACTAATTCAGAGACATTACCACTTCACCATCATCTGCCCGCAAGAAATAATTTGATATTGTTTATCATATATTAATTACAAACTTTTTAAATCAGATTCATCATCCTATCTTGATAGCCAGTTTCAAAAAACTTCATAATTCAATCCATAAACCTACAAAGGGAAGAAAGTACAAAGGTGATGGCCGAGTGGTATTATTGCTGGACTGTTAATCCAGAGACCCAGATAATGTTCTGGGGACATGGGTTCGAATCCTGCCACAGCAGATGGTGGAATTTGAATTCAATAAATATGTGGAATTAAGAATCTAACAATGATTGTGAATCATTGTCAATTGTCAGGAAAAACCCATCTGGTTCACTAATGTCTTTTAGGGAATGAAACTACCATCCTCATCTGGTTTGGACTACGTGACTGCAGACCCTCAGCAATGTGGTTGACTCTGAACTGCCTTCTGGACAATTGGGCAATAAAGCCCTCATTACGTGGATGAAGGAAGAAAAAGGGTTGAAGCATCTTTTACTTTTTAAATCACGTTTTTGGAGGTGGGGAGGGGAAAGAGAGAACAACAAGGCAGCAAAGAATACACTTGTTGACTGGAAAGAATGTAGGAATATTGATTGTACCTACTTGCATGTGCATGAATTATGAATAACGATGAGTAGGAGGGATGCTTAGGAAGGGAAGGTGAAGGGATAGAGAATACAATTGGAACAGTAAGTTGGGAGGAAAATGATGGGGAAATGAGATAGAAAAGGGACAGTTGACCATTTTCTCTGCAAACTTCTCAAATATAGCCGCAGGTACTGGTCTCTAAAAGGCCACATCTATTTTCTCTTCCCTAAACAATACGAAGCATTCTGCTAGATTTATATCTTAATTAGGAAACTTGTACTGCTGGACATTTTTCCTCTCCCTGACTGGGAGTGACACAAATGATATATTAAAACAAGTTCAAACCTCTCAAACAGGAGTTGATATTTGAATGCCTAAGCCAGAAAATTACAATAATGACTACACAGATTTTACATGTGTATGCCAGTAGGTGCAATGTGATTGGAAAATTACTATAACAGAATTGTTATCTAAAATCGATTTTAGATGAACTAACTGCAGTTATGCTGTCAAAACTCAGTTTTACAGCAATTCTAAAATGAGGCTGCACTGTTGATCAGATTGGAGATATAAACCAGTGCCATATCAAAGTGATTATTGTAGTCATTTGGTGAGTCTTTAAAAAAATCATCAGTACTAAGCTACAAACTTCCACCAGTCTGAACTTATAATTTATTGCAATTCCAAAACTGGTACCTCAACAAACCAAACATTAAGTCGCAGCACATTTTCTCAAATTAAACTTATTTTGATAAGTCAGGAAATGATTTTATGCCACTAAACATGGTCAAATATTGTTCCAACTAATGAATACCAGAGAAAAGTAGATTTAAATAGCTTAAATCTGAAAATTGAATTTCTGATAAGTACTACAGTTGGAGATGATTTGCAATTGAAGTTTGATAGCATATCAATGTATTTTTCTTCAAAACATTAATGCAAAATGTTATGCTAGACCTGTATAGTTTCCCAGCTGATATACTATGCCCAATTTTGGGTACCACATTTTAGAAAAGGTGACAGCTTTAAAAGGGAGTGCAGAAAAGAAATTTTAAAAAATTCATGTGGTGTTAGCGTTGCTGATAAATATATTATTGCCCTCGAGTTATCTTCTGGAATCATTACAATCTCTTTCATGTAAAGATGCCCAAGCTACTATTAGGGAGTGTCAGGATTTTGACCCAGGGCTAATGAAGGAAAAGGGATAGAACACAGTCAAGATGGTGTGTGACTTGGAGAAAAATGGCAAGTAACAATGATCCTATGCATCTGCTACACTTGTTCTTTGAGCCATTACAGCTTGCGGATTAAGATGGTGAATCACAAGAATGGTTGAAGCATTACAGATACATAGATAGACCAAAGAAGCTAGGTTTGTTCTTGGAGCAAAGATGTCTGAAAGGTTTGCTGGAGTATTTAACAGTCATTTGTAAGGTAGAGTGAATAAATAGAAACTTTCTGAAGGCCCAAAGGGTTAATAACCAGAGTACACAGATTTCAGGTGAACCAGAGGGAACGGTTGGAAAAACATTTTTTGAAGGTTCAAAATTCAGGACATTGCCCGATTGGTGGATATAGATTCAGTTGTAGCTTTAAGAAAGATCATGAACTGCAATAATCTGGGAAAGAGCTGAAAAGTGGAACTATAATAAAACCAAAGTGGGTCCTGGAAATCTGAAGCAAACAAAATTGCTGGATAAACTGTGTTGTCTGGCAGCATCTATGGAGAAAGAAAGAGTTAACATCGAGTCCAGTATGACTCTGATGAACTCAAGTTCTTACCGAGAAAGACTACAGAAAGGAATTGAGCTCCTGTGCAAGAATCATAAAAAAAGCTAGCATCCAAGTTCAGTGGGTAATAGGGAAAGCAAATGGACTGTTAGCCTTTATTTCCAAAGGGAATGGAGTATAGAAATAGGAAGGTCTTGCTAAAACTATACAAGACTCTAGTACGATTGCACAGAATATTACAAACAATTTTGGTCCCACAGCCAAGGAAAGATATACTGGCACTGGAGGCAGTCTAGAGAACAATCATTAGGTTGATTCCAGCTATTGAGGGATTTTCTTATGGAGGAGAGGTTAAGTAGGTTGGGTTTCTACTCAATGAAGTTAAAAAGAATGAGACAGCCTTATTGAAACATAGCAGATTCTTTGGGGAGATGATAGGGTCAATGCAGAGATATTTCCGTATGTGGGAGATAAATGGGTGATCTCTTACTCTGAGATTAAGGCAGGTAAGGGGAAATACGTTTTCTCAGAAGAGAATAATCTGTGGAATTCTTTATCACAGCGGGCTGTCAAAGCTTGGTCATCAAGTACATTCAAGGCTGAGAGAGATTTTAAAATCAGTAAGGGAATCGCTGTTATGGGGATAAGGCAGGAAAGTGGGGTTGAAGATTTTGAGATCAGCACAATCTCATTGCATGGCAGAGCAGAATTGATGGGCTGAATGGCCCCTCCTATTCCTACACCTTATGGAGGAATGTTTTGATCAATAATACAATACTGAGGAAACGATCATTGTGGTTATAGAATTAAAACAGGCAGGCCTTGGTTATGGCCTGGATCCAGGAGTGTAAAACATTGCTCAAGATCAAAGAGAAAAATGGGTGATAGGGTTCATGAAGCAACCAGGAAGGTGGATGGGATTAGAGTTAAACTGCAATGTTTCTGGCTGCAGCCAAGAAGAATGGCATTAGTTCTTCCATTGAAGAGACAGTGGAAGTGCTAATTCAGATTTGATTTAAGACAGAATGGATGATGATGAGAGAGGGACAAAGCTGAGTGTTTCACATATATGGATATGTCCCAAAACATAGTGCTAGTGATTTTTTTGCAAGGATACAGGTGTATTTGTGTGGAATAAGGAATTTTCTGGATGTGACTGCCACGGTAATGACAATATTTGATTTTCACAAAACAGAAAAATGTCATTTCAAACTATCTACATTTTTGATGTTGGCCATTACAACTAGAAGTGATATTTTCCTTTTAACTCAAGAAAATAAACACTAGGCTCACTACCAACTAACCACACTAGTTCACTAAACTATTGGATGTCGGTAACCTAGAGAGAAAAGAAAGCTGAATAAAAAAAAAGCAAAGAAGGCTTTCCAGAATATTTTATTGATTGTGTTATGGATCCATGGCATCAGCAAGATAACATAAAATGTGTAGCTTAGATGAACTTATTAATGTAGCAATTTGTAGATAAATAATCTAATTACGTTAAGCTTAAAAGATACATACATTATAAGGCCACGTGGAATTAGCTATTATTCGATAAACTCCAAGTACTTTCATGGTAGATTGCACATAAAACAAACTGACAAATAGTTTATGATTCTTCAAATACAAAAAAACATATATATGTTAGACCAGACAGTTTAACTTTGTTTGTACATCTGTATTTGGCTGTTTTAATAGTCTCAAGGAATGTAAAGCAATTAAACACCAAAATTAGACATATTGTAATCTTATATTCTTCATTACACACAAGGAGAGAAAGTTGCGTTTAATCCATGTGGGTTTATATAGCACTAATACCTTTGCAATTGCTGCAAATCCATTGTGCATTGATAATTACGTAGAAAAATAGCTGGATTATACAACAGCAGCAAACACTTAATTCTCGTTCGTAGTCAGTTTATCAAGAGGATTTACAAAACCTCTTGTAAAACAGCTTAAATTTACATTCCTCAAACTGAAGGAAAAGTGCTAGTTTGTTTGGACAATGCATTGTTTTTGTAAGGTGTCATGGTTATCTACCCTGCTTACTACTGTATATATTTGGCATTCTCAACATTGCTTGGAAAACATTTATTAATTTGGCATATTTATATCCAGTCTCCATTTTCTTCTCCAACTGTAATTTATCTGTACATAGTAATGTTACAAATAAAAGTAGAGTGTTTTAATCATACAAACATACGGCAGCACAACCTCCATACCAAGCCAAAACCCCAACTCAACTCCCCGCTACGTATACACATTAAATTAATTCAAATAATTCTAATGAATACCTTATGCCAAAATCTCAGCAATAGCTTAACAATGGTCTTTTCCTTTCTACTGCAATTCACCGTTCCTTCAAAAATAGAAATGGGAACAGAGAATCATCTGACCAAAGAATAACCAAGGAAATGAATGCCCTATAAATATCATTAATCTTAACTTGGAATGAAAACCAAGAAGAAATATCTTTAGAATACTAGCAACTCCATACAAGACATTGTTTACTGGAAAAATATTGCAAAAGTATTTACATATTCCTCTAAAAAAAATTACTCTGCTGATGACAGCTAACAATTCATTCAATTAGAGTTTTGTGTTGAACTCAGTAAAGGTGAACATATTAAGCAGGTTCTTCCTAAACAGTTTCACTAGCCGATTAAATTGTGTCTCTGGTTTTGGCCATCCTTTGAATTGCTTAACCACACTAATCAAAATAGTGAAACCAACTCAATTCTTGTAAGCTTGTACCAATTTCTCATGTTTAGAGTCTCCATGTTAAGTCACAAAACGATCACCATACCTTGTCAATTGTATTAAGTATATATATATATATACACACACACACACACACACACACACACACACACACACAATCAGTAGCTCCATCTTGCCATCCAATGTCAGTTTTCTTATGGAATGATTCAAATGTCAAATGAAACTCCCACCCCACCCCGCACTGTGCTGGAATGATTCATCTCATAAATATGTGTCCTGTTCTTCTGAGCTGAGACTTTGTTCAGACTGCTGTAATTGAGTGTCCTTTTTCAGCATCGATTGATTTAGCTCCTCTGTAATATCTAATGGTTGGGTAACATTTTGTTCATCTCTTAAAATTCTATTGGTCTCATCAGTGGTAGATCCATTTGCCACTGTTTCAACTTTTGCGGTCTTCTCCTGTTTCTTCTTTTCTTTCTTTTGTTCTTTTGACATTTTCTTATCCTTTTTCTTTTTTGAATTGCTACCTGAATCAGGAGACACTGGTGGGGAGTGTACCACTATGGATGGCATCTGCATCAAGGCTTTTTGAGAATGAGGCTCAGCCTCATTGATCGCTTTAGCACCATGCAATCTAGGAGGAGGCTGGTACTTGAGGTCACCGTGCGTATCCTTCCACTTCTTCAACTGAATTAAATGTTCTTTTTCAACCTCCCTTTCTGTGATAGGAAGTTCAATTATCTGTTTTTTTAAAAAAAAAACAAAAAAGGCATTTTATTCATTTCCATATACTTTTCTTTTTACATTGACAAGCCAACTAGGAATGTTCCAGTCATAGAATCATAGAATCCCTACAGTGTGGAAAAAGGCCCTTCGGCCCAACAAGTCCACACTGACCCTCGGAGCATCCCACCCAGACCCATCCCCCTATAACCTACCTAATCTCCACATCCCTGAACACTATGGGCAACTTCGCATGGCCAATCCCCTAACCTGCACATCTTTGGACAGTGGGAGGAAACCGAAACGTCTAGAGGAATCCCAGGCAGACATGGGGAGAATGTGCAAATTTCACACAGACAGTCGCCCAAGGTTGGAATTGAACCCAGGTCCCTGGTGCTGCGAGGCAGCAGTGCTAACCACTAAGCCACTGTGCCGCCCCTTCCTGCATCTTTTGGGTAGAACATTAAACAGAGGCTTCATCTGCTCTCAGGTGGACAGTGCGAAAAAAATCCATTGTACTACTTCAAAGAACAGCTGGGATCATCTGGCTAATATTATCCCTCAAATTATCACTAGACTGAATGCTGAAAGTCTAAATATTTTGTACAAATCTAATTTTGCTTGTAATCTGTAATTAGCATTTAAGTGACATCTACAGTTTAGCTTTTGAAGTTTCCAGCCTTAAGCAGGGTTTTAACAAGACCTACAAATAAAAGAAAACTGCAGATGCTGGAAAGCTGGAATAAAAACTCTGCAGGTGTGGCAGCATCTAAGAAGTGAAGAGTCACACAGACACTAACTCTCTCTCTCCGCACATAGTGCCAGACCTGCTGAGTTTTTCCAGGAATATCTGTTTTTGTTTGATTTCCAGCATCTATAGTTTTGTTTTGTTAAATGAAAAGGGGAATGTTTCAAATTGTAGCCCATGACTCGTACCATGACAAATCTTTGAACAGTAAATGAATATGCATGACTTTTAATTTCAGACAATGATATCCCAAAAGCATTAACTGTCACTGAGAAACTGATGGTGAGCCAAGTTCTTCACCACTGCAATCCATGTAATGTACATACACCAATGACAGGAAAGGGCTGTTAATATTTCCAAGTCAGGATGATATGCAGCTTGGGAGTGGAACTGGTTTGTGGTTGTGTTCCCAAGCATTTGCTAACCTTGTTCTTCTGGGTGTAGATTTGTAAGGTGTTGTCATTGATGAGTTACATCCTGCAGCCTTGGTATGCTGGGGAGGGAGTGAATTTTTAAAAGTGTGCCAATCAAGTAGAGTACGTTATCCTGAATGGTGTTTGTTGTGTTTTCCATTGAGCGTTGTTAAAGCTATACTTACCCAGGCAGGCTTAAGTAATTATCTAAATGGAAAATACCCACCACACTACTGACATGTACATCAGGACACAAGTTATCAAACATGGAATTCCCAAACATCTACCTGCTGTTGTAGCCATAGTATTTAAGTGACTGGTCCAGTTAAGTTTCTGATCAATGGTGAACACTTCACCCATGCAGATGGGCACCATGTTATCTCAGGTTGATGACGACGATGGGGGATTTAGAGTCATACAGCATGGAAACAAGTCCTTTGGTCCAACAAGTCCATGTGACCATAATCCCAAACTAAACTGATCCCACCTGCCCATGTTTGGCCCATATCCCTCCAAACATTTCTTATTCACGTACTTAAAATGTGTAACTGTAGCCACATCAACCACTTCCTCTCGAAGTTCATTCCATACACAAACCACTGTTAAAAAAAAAAGTTGCCTCATGCCTTTAAACCTTTCTCCTCTCACCATAAAAATATGTCCCCAGTCTTGAAATTCTCCACCTTAGATAAAGTGAATGTCGGGTGTCTTTCCCTATACCCCTCATGAAAATTTTAACCTTGATAAAGGTCCCCTCCAAATTTCTCATGCACCAATGAAAGAAGCCCCAGCCTATCCAGCCTCTCTTTATAACTCAATCCTTCCATTACTGGCAATATCTTTGGTAAAACTTTCTGAACCCTCTAGCTTAATAATATTCTTCCTATAACAGGGCAACCAGAACCAGACACAATACTCCAGGAGTGGCCTCAATGTCTTGTACAACCTCAACACGACGTGCCAATTCCTATACTCAAAGATCTGAGTAATGAAGGCTAAACGCCTTCTTAGCCACCCTGTCGACATGTGATGCAAACTTCAAAGAATTATGTACCTGAACTCCTAGGTCTTTGTTCTACAACACTATCCAGGGCCCTAATTATAACTGTACAAGTTCTGCCCTTGTATTTTTACCAAAAGGTAAGATCTCACATTTATCCAAATTAAATTCCATCTGCTACTCAACACTGTTAATTATCAAGGGCAGCTTTTTTTCCTTTAAGCCCCATCACTCTCAACCAAATTTGAATGTTGTCAAGATCTTCATGTTACATGTGGCACAGATTGCTTTGCTATCCAAAGAATTGTGAAAGAAACTTTTGTGGGGTCGGGGTTTGGGGACAGGTGATGGTGGTAGAGAGCTGGGAGACAGATTGTGGTGGAAGTGGCAGAAAGAAAAAAGTCATTAAAACTGCAGTTAAAGCTAGTTGGTGTAGGATACTGCCCTGACGAACTCCTGGGTTGACATGACTGACTTCCAATAAACAAATCATTTTCTTTTGCAGTTATGACTACATCCAGAGATGATTTTCCCTCAGACTGTTTATTTCCTTGTATAGAATTGATGCCGAGTGCACTTAACTGCAGCTGGAGTCACGTGTAGTTACATAATTACAGCAGGGAGGCAATGGCCTAGTGGTATTATCGGTGGACTGTTAATCCAGAAACCAAGATAACATTCTGGGTTCAAATCCCGCTATGGCAGACAGTAATATTTGAATTCAATAAAATATCTGGAATTAAGAGTCTAATGATGTTTGGGACTCCATTGTTGATTGTCAGAAAAACCCACCTGGTTCACTAATGTCCTTTAGGGAAGGAAACTGCCATCCTTACCTGGTCTGGCCTACATGGGACTCCAGACGCACAGCAATGTGGTTGACTCAACTGCTCTTTTCGGCAATTAGGGATGGACAATAAATGCTGCTAGCCAGTGACGTCCTCATCCCGTTAATGAATAAAAAACCTTACTGTATGTTGCACAGGGTAGTGAATAACTGATGGATATGTTTTATGATCATTGTACTTCTTTTATTAACAACAGTAAACAAGACAACACTAAATTTATTGACCAATATATATTCATAAGATGTGTTGGATCAAATGGTTTTTAGGATCAAAAAAATTTACACTGCTACTAAGACTAAGGGAGAGTGGTTGTAAGTGTGTACTTCCTTCCTGACCTGTTCTCCCTCTTTTTGGAGGCGGCACTTTCTAGCTACTTCTGTTTTGTTTCAGATTTGAGCCCTCCCATTTTCTATCTTTTGCAGTTCTGGCATTTATGGCTCTTATGACTGCCACTGCCTACCTATTCACACATACTTGGGTTTCTTTAATTTCATTATATTCAACATTAATGACCTTTGTGCATATTTCAACAACGTACATTGAGCACCATGCTAACAGTTAAGTGATGGAAAGAAGACTGAAGATATTACATCAAAACAACCATTTCACTGGCAATTAAGTTTCACCTAATTTCCTTACATTGTACTCTTTTTGCTCATTAACTGGTCACCTCAAATTTCAGTTCTAAAAATTGATACATTAAAAACTGAAGATCTGTTCTCACCACCATTGACCAAATTAAGTTTCCAGATTTTTTTGTTTTACAAATTTCCAGTCTTCACAGCCTAACCTTTTTTTTTCAAATTGATGTTGCAAATTTGTACTGTCTTAATCTACCCTGTATTTTGAGGATGTGACTTAACATCACCATTTTCATTGTTTGATTACATGTTTGCTTCCTCATTTGTAAGTGGGATAAACGTTTATTTCATGACCAACTAAACTCCCCAGCCCTAGTTTCAACCATCTCAGTACTAGGTGTGTCCGCAGCTATCAGATTTCATAATCAGACACTGGAATGTCGTACATCTACTTGTTTTACATGTTTAGCATGCATGCTTCAGTAAAACTGAGTGACTTCTATATGACCACTTACATTTTAAGAGGTGACTAAGAGTCTTTAAAAAAATTGCTTGGGACTCCATCCAAAATGAAGGACAATATTTGATAAAGTCTAGAAATAATACATTTTTAATATGCAAATCTCAGGTGTTGTTGTGAAGTTGGTAGAGTACTTATGAATTGGAAGACAGGATGTTAAAATTTGTTTGTAAAAATGATGGGGTGGGGGGGTGGAGAAAGAAAGAAGTGTGTGGTCCCTTTGAGACGTGATGTGCTTTTCTAAGATTGGAGAATAAAAAGTCTGCAAGCAGCTGCAGACGCACAGATAGTTCTTAAATTGAAAGATATAGATCAATTGGCTGTGGCTGGCAATCTAGGCTTATTTTGATGTTAAGGCAACCAGCTTAAATATCAGCCAATTAATTTAAACTAGGCACTTAGAGACTAAAAACCAATGCAATTTAAATCTGATTGAGTTGACGTCCTAGGACCAATCCTATAATAAGCAAATTGACAGGTCATCAAGGGTATACAAGAAGAGGGTTTTTGAAAATCAGTGCGAGAGCAAACTGCCATCAAGAGTAAAACTCTGGCTCTCAGAAATCTTTAAACTCTCCAATTAAGCACCATCTAAAAAGGCACCAAGCACTCTTAGCTAATATTCCTCACACAAAGATTCGATGAAGAAAAATTCCTGACTGAAGAATAGCAGAAAAGGCACAGAACATTCTAGAAGACACTTCCTGACTGTAGTTTTGAGTGTCTAAGTTTTAATTTATTTTTTCTTATTACTTTGGTTTATTATAAGTGGGACCTGTATTTATTGGAACAGTATACCATTAAAATTTTGTTTTATTTGGGAATAGTTAGTAGTTTGGGCGGGGGGGGGGGGGGGCGTGTGTGAATTGTTCAGTTTATTAGTAGTTCTGTTATTTTGATCACTGATAGAGTTAGATAAATAGTTACTTGCTGCTTATAAAAAGTGAGCATGAGGGAGCTCATTTCATTTAACCATCCCCTCTGTAACTGTGTTCATCAATTTAACTGTCAAAAAATACTGGTAAGCACTTCACACTGACATAGGCATGTGTTACAAAGCAATGATGCATCAATTAAATTTGTTCAGCTGTAACTGCTAGAAGGCACTTCATATTAAACCTATGGGGCATGATTATTTTTGGATGTGTTTCAACAATTACCATGCTAACAATGTCTTTCTATGCAAATATGCATAGTTAACACACAAGCCCAAGAAGTATGATGGGACAAGAGTTGACCTTTTGATGACTGAATACCTCAGGTTTTAAGCACTGGCATCATTCATACTACTTAAAGAATAAAACAGACATCTTCATCAAACAACTTTGCATGGCACATTTACTACAGTTAGAGATTCTACAGCAGCTCAGAGACAAACAAAATAAAAAGGAGGCATTAAGACAGGTGAATAAGTAGTTTTTAAAAAATCTTAGAATTAGAGGTTGAGTGAAGGCAATCTACTGCTTGGTACCCAAACTGATAGCATGGACACTAATAGTGGAGCAAATAATCTCTAGAACTGCAATGATGCAGTCATCTTAGAAGGTAACTGGGCTAAAAGGAGGTTACAGACATTTAGACGGTTAGATTGCAGGGGCAAATTTGCCAGAAGGTATAAATTGAGTGATTGCCACACAGAGCGAATGTAGGTCAGTGAGTAAAGGGATAATGGTAAATTCTTGAATATTGTGCTCTGCATTGGAGTTTGCTTTTCAGTCAAGAATCAATTTTTAACAAACTGCCTATAGCAGCAACCATTAACAGGTTTTTGAAAGATAACAACATTGCAAGTGCTTCTCTACAGGTCAAAGATAACGGTTAAAATCATTTCCTTTGGGTGATTACACAAGGATTATTTCTGAACCACTAAAATAAACTGAAGAATGTTGTAATCTTGTCCACAGGAAATCTTCAGCTGTCAACTTCCAAAAACATTGGTACAACTGCAGCTTAAAATACTTAATAGCACCTCTAATATTAAACAAACAGCATCATACAACTCAGCCAAGCCAGGACATGAATTAAGAATAAAAATAGTCTTAAAATGGTTAAAGTGATTGTGGGAATGAAAAACCCTGCAAATGCAAACCACGTTATTCTGAAGTAATGTTCTAGAGAAAATGGAACTCCGACACTTCAGGGAGTGTACACAGGCCACCCAGAATCAATGCCATCAATTTATCTTTTGCCTTCTCCAGCCACTAAGTTGACTTAAAATGCGTATTTCCCTAAAACAGCTTCAAATACTTGGGTTTACTTTTATTTTTGCAATCAGTCAGGCATTTTTTTTTTTTGCATATCATCATGGGAGAGATGGTGTGATAGTAGTAATGTTGTCAGGCTAGTAATCCAAAGACATAGGCTAATGGTCTGTAGCCATGAGTTCAAATCCCACCACAGCAGCTAGGAGGATTTAAATTCCAATTAAAACGTTTGAAATATGGAGGTAGTTTTATAGTCTTAGTAATGGTGACCATCAAATATCATAAAACAAACCACTGGAGAGAAGAAAAATCTGCCATCCTATCCTCATCTAGGGATAGTAGGAACTGCAGATGCTGGAAAATCTGAGATAACAAGGTGTAGAGCTGGATGAACACAGCAGGCCAAGCAGCAGAGGAGCAGGACCCTTCTGGGTCTAGGCCCGAAACATCAGCCTTCCTGCTCCTATGATGCTGCTTGGCCTGCTGTGTTCATCCAGCTCTACACCTTTCCTCACCTATCCTGTGTTAGAATCCAATATCTTTGGTCGACACTTATCTGCCCTCTGAAATGGTCAAACAAGGTATGCAATTCAAGGGCAATTAGGGATGGGACTGACTCAGTTGATTTACAAGGACATGGATTCAATGAGCTGAAATGGTCTCTGATGAAATGACGGATTTCTTTCCCAGTCCCATTCTCATGTATTGCTGAGGAACTTCACAGACATCAACTTCCACATGTATGCTGACAATGCTATCTCTTGGCCATTCTACTGCCTCACTTGTTAAACTGTTCGCAGTGCTGAATAGTCAACAGTTTTCTCCAAATCAATAGAAGGAACAGTGAAACTATTTCACCACACAGACCCTTTTCTAACCACCATTTCCACCACTCATTCTAGACCCTTTTAGGTCAACCCAAGCCTTGGCATCCTATTTGACTTTAAGTACTAACATGATCCCTACGTTCTCTTCATAGAATTACCCACCCCTAACTCTGTCTCAGAAACAGCTAATGACGTGCATATCTGCTGAAGGATCATTCAATCTTTTGTTTGTTCCAGATATATCTATTCCAATGGTCTTGGGTGACCTCCCATTTTGCACATTCCAAATCTGAATTTGTTTAAATTTCTGCTGTCTTGTTATTATAGTCATCATTCTAAGTCTCTTTCTCCTCGATTCTCTCTTTGATCAAACTTATTTATGGTTGTCTTTTCTAACATCTACATATGTGGCTCAGTGTTAATTTTGTCATATCATTCATTCTTGCAACTTGCCTTGGGATGCCTCAATACATGTAACACGTTATAAAAATGCAACTTCTTGTAATGCGCACGGCCAAGGCTAATCAATGTCTTTCCCCATAGCAGAGCCAGGTAATGGTCTTAAATTGGAATACATCGGCTACGTCAATCTTTCCCTACTCACATCTAATGGGAGCACAAATTGTGTACGACTGTTTAGCATGGATTATGAGAGTTATTCTATCATCTTACAATCAGGTAGAAAGACAATAATTTTGACTGGTCTCATACCTCTCGTACGAGAAAGCCATCCTGCATATATCTGGGATCAATGCTACGAAGTTTTTCCATGGTTTCATACTGACCCTGACATTTCTTCAGTTTTTCTGATGAGCCAAGTGTATACTTCAACAGAATGAGACCGACACGGAATATTACCTTTACACCTGGAATAAAACAAAAATGGAAAATCCAAAAGCAATTAACCATATTAAACAGCATCAGGAATGATATTAAAATTAAACAAAATTCAAGCTAACCATCTGCCTTGTTCTTGGGAGCTACTTAATCAAAGAAGGAATGAATTGCTACTTTAGAACAGCAGGCATGTTTATCTTTAACAAAACACAATTTCATTTTTTGCTTTCCACCAATGTTTGTTCCTGAGATCACAAAGCACAAAAAGGATTGCAATTTTTTTTTTAAATAATGATAAATAGTTCTGCAGTCCTCAAGTAGAAGGAAAGTATCTTTACAAATAATTATCCGGCTGACTAAGGGCTCAAACAAGAGCATGAAAGAGTACAAGAGAAAAATTATATTTTTTAGAAGAGTTAGTAATCAATACAAGTAATTGTTGAATGCTGATAGGAAAAATTGAAATTATAGTCAAAATTCCCAAAGGAGCTTATACATGTTCTACGATAAAGTAACAAAATAAGATATCAAAACGATCTCATACTGGTCATTTCCAGTTTTATTTCCCAAAAACTTCATATGCCAAAGGGTACAAACAGCTGAAAAATGGCCATTATTGATTTTCTTTCATCCAAGAGTTTATTTAGCTCATTCTGAATTAATTTGCAATTATAAGTTTTGGGAAACGTCCTTTAAAAAAAAAATTGACTTATGCCATTAAAAAGTTAACTACAGACAAGCAATAAAATATTGGCCTCGGGTGATATCCATAATCCCATGAATGAATATTTTTAAAAGCTAGTTATCATTTTCATTAATAAAAATTAACATACTTCATTATCACATTGCTCAGAGTGAGGAATATGATGAATGGAAATAAGACAATTCAAATTTTGTACATTGTTCATGAACATTTTGAGCCAGTTGTAACCTAGTTAATTACAGAAGCACTCCTAAGGACAAACCTTGGGTCAGCCTTAGAGGTACACTACAATTGCGATAATCACATTTACTAGTTCCCACATCAAATATCCAATGAAACTGTGGATTTAGTGCCAGTTAGAAGCAACTCTTCCCAAAGGGCCTACACTCTATAAATTGAAATGATGCTGCACTACTTGTGCTAGTAACCTCAAAAAAAAAAAGAGACAACACATGGACACATGCGTACATAACATGGAACACAGGAAGTACAGCACTTCACAAGACATGTTATTGATAGTCAGGAAAGAGTATGGAAAAGTATTGATGACTCCAGGACAGCAGTTCCCAATTCTAGATAAAAACATAGAACATAAAAACGCCATTGTTAAAGACACATAGCAAAAGCTGCATGCTTAAGTAGAAAAGCATATAATTCTCACATTAAGTCAGTTGACCTACTGTTGTGTACTTCACAGCAACTGGGCCATTTGCAAGTTACTGGTCATTTCTTGCAAAGTTGTATTTAGGCATTAGCTATAGATCAGGTGACTGATGTTGGTGCTAATATACAGCCAATAATACAAACACAGATTATGTACCTTCACAGAAGAACATGTCCCAAATTCTCAGCACAGACACCCACGGCAAAGTTCTTGAAAATGCACACATGAACCACTCCGTCATGTACAGGATGGGGTCAATTTTATACTTGTTAAGGTGTTTATGTGCCACCGGTGAAACCTTACGCAATAAGGCAAAAAAGATCTCTCCATCCAACTGGATTGCTTCCTGAAGAACAAATCAGAGTCACAGAAATGTGCCAATTTCTATTGGTAAAGTTTAGCTTGAAACTATTTTAGACACAATAACTAACCACAAAACATTTAATGGGGTTTCATAAATGCAAAACCAATTTTTGAAATAAATGTTAATTCTGTGCTGAATTTATAATTCGTTAGCAAAACAGCAGTCACAGAGGCAGGTGAAGTTTATCCTGATCTGGTTGTTTTTGTTACATCCACAATAAAACTTCAATGGTAATTAGTGGCACAAATAAGGTATTGAAAGCAATTAAAATTATCAAAAGAAAGCATTTAATCGGGCAGTCACTACCCAGTGTAGTAATAGGTCTTTAGATCAGAAGGTAGTTAGCTCATTCGAACTAAATAAGGGTAAACGTGACTTCAGTATCACACATTATAGGAAAGCAGAATTTCAGCTCGAAGCTGCTTTGGCAATAGGCTCATGCACAATTCCCATTTTATAATCAAATTACTTAAAAACATGAACTGAAAGAACTGTGGATGCTGTAAATCATGAACAAAAACAGAAGTTGCTGGAAAAGCTCAGCAGGTCTGGCAGCATCAGTGAAGAAAA